CTGCAGGCAGCCTGCCTGGAAAGCCCCAGCACAACTCCTCAGGCCGGCCGGGGAGGTGAGAGCCGGTTCCCTTTGGAGCATCTTCTTCCCCCGCTCTGTGTCGCTGAAAACAGAAGGGAATTGCCCAAGGCTGCGTCTGCGACGCCACCGTTGAAATCTCCCACGGATGCCGGCAGAGAGCGCGGCTCGGGCGCCGTGCGGACCTAAGCGGGGACTGGATCTCACCCTCTGTCCGGCTGGTGCTTTGACGAAGCCACGTTCGGAGGTCACGCGTGCTGTGCTCGGCGTCACCCAGGCCACAATTTCCCTGTGTCTCACAGAACTGAAAATCTTGGAGAGAGAGAGAGAGAGAAGCGAGAGCCACGCAGCGCGGAGGGAGCAGCTCAGCTCGGGGCTGCCAGAGCCTTGCGGCCGCTCCGCCGGGCCCTTTCACCCAGCGGCTGCTTTTCACCCTCTTTGGTGGACAGCCATGAGAATGAGCCTTTGTTTTTGCTCTTGTTCCCATCCCGAAGCTGCTAACCTGGATCTCTCCTGTCTGGCACAGATGACGGCAATTTAGCAGCCAAGGCGCTGGCATGCCAGCAGGCCGAGCACACTTTTGCTGGCATGCCCTGCGGGATCATGGACCAGTTCATATCCGTGATGGGCAAGGAAGGCCACGCGCTGCTCATCGACTGCAGGTCAGGACCGAGCCCCGAGCGCGCCGCGCTAACGAACCCTGCTTGGGCATTTGCCTGTGAGCATCTTAACTAACGTTTGGGACCCGCTGTCTCTTAGCTGTGAAGTGAATGTGGCCACAGGAGTGCAGAGGGGGTTTAACCCTGCATCCGGGTCAAAATCTCATCGCAGGGTTAGGACTAGGCCCAGCTTTGCGCGTCCTCTCAATGATGGTCTGCACGTGGCTGGGCTGGCCTTCCTGCAAAGTCTTTCGGGTCTAATATGGGACTAATAATTGGGAAAGAGATATGTCCAAGCAGAATCCTAAATCACGTGGACTTTGCCCTTGCAGAAGCACCAGCTGCCCACCACGTGGCATGCAGCAGGAGGCTGCACCGTGGCCTCCCTGGAGAAAGCAGGGGGAACGGGGCCATCCCCCACGCATGGCCTCCTTTGCGCTCTCGTTCCAGGTCCCTGGAGACCGTCCTCGTACCACTGACCGATGCCAGCTTGGCCGTCCTCATCACCAACTCCAACGTGCGGCACACGCTGACGGGAAGCGAATACCCCAGCCGCCGGCGTCAGTGCGAGGAGGCTGCTGCGGCTCTGGGCCAGGCCAGCCTGCGGGACGCCCCCGTTGCCGGGCTCGAAGGTGGGGCCAGGGTCTCGCTGGGCT